CCTGTGCTACCGCTTGGCTTTGTCAGAAACACATAACTTGGCACAGACCTGCAGCCCTGCCACGGCTGCTAGAAGGAACAGACAGCGGACATACCTTGCTGTCCATGTCTTCCTGTCAGCTCTATGTTTTTTGGTTCCTAGCAACCCTTTCCAGCAAGTTTTCCCAAGGGAACGGCCCACTCTGCTTTGGGGCAGCCCGAAGCCAGGGCCAGAGACACTGACCTGGGCTCAGGGGAGGCTGGCGGGGTTGCCCTGGCTCACGCGGGCAGCAGAGGTGACCCAGGGGTTTTTCTGCATGCAAGATGGCTTAGAGCCGGGCAGCAGGAGCCTGGAAAATCCAGAGGCTTTGCCACCTCGCAACGGCAGCCATTTCTTAACACAGAAATCGACTGCGAGGTAAGAAACACAGGCATGAAACATTGAAGCTCACAGAGTGAGGAAGCTGTCAGTGAAATAAAAGCATCCCAGGAAGCTATAAAGAGATAAAATTGTATTCCTTCATCTTTGTGCACTTTATAAAAGAGGAGCAATTGTCTCTCTATTGAGATAACTAACGAAAGAGTGAAGATAAGTGGGAAAAGGTCATAATGAAAACCAAAGGCAGGTAAAACAGCGTACTTTGATTTTCTATTTGCAGAAAACAAGCCCAGAATGTTTCAGGTGAACCTCTTTGTTGTAGCGTATTATTCTGAAAGAATATTGCTGACATATTGCATAACTAAAATTATTTTTTGTTTCAATCACAAAGCAAAAGCCAGCAAGCAAATTCCTCTCTGATGCCACCTCATACGGTTGACCCATTTGGTTCTACAGAATGAAGCGAAAAACTTTGGAGATTTCTTTCTGTATTCAAATTTAATTAGGTTAAAATCTTGATCATTCTTCTTGGATAAGCTATCAGTCTATCCATGTAGTAAGCCAGAAAAGATGTGTTTATATGGAAGAGATCCTGGCTGCGTAACCGCTTCCCTACCCTCCACCCGGTGCTGACAGTGAAAGATGAGCGCAGAGCTCGGCACTGGGGAGTCTCTGCAGGGACAGAGCGCCAAAGCAGTGGTTCATGCGCCGCAAGCCTTGGTCCCCAAGGAACAGCGCTACTGGCAAAGATGGGGACGCTAGTTCGGGGCAGGAGATCAATGCACAAGATCAACCCCGTCCCAGCTGAAGTGTTTGGACTGCTCTATTACGAGCTTCCACAGTTGAGGAGTCGCTTGCAGGCTGCTCTGAGTCAGTTGGCTGCGTGCTGAACAGCTCTGGGACTGGCTGCACGCCAGTACCTTGAGCTTTGCCCTGACCATCAGGAGCTGCTCTGCGCTATCACCCGTTCCGAGCAGAGGCTCGGAGTGACCCTTCTCCCTTCTTTCATCCCTCACTCAGATGCATGAACACAGAGGAGCTGCGCACAGTCTAAAAAAATAAAACCATATGACCATTAATATTTCTACCTGCATCTCACTACAAAATCTGTCTGTTATTAACACTGCAAGATTAATAGGACATCTTACCCAACTGCTAGTAGCCAAATGTCTCTTCAAGGTAAAGTTCAGGTTGTATAGTATTAAAAAATCAGTTATGTAAGTGTCAGTATCTTACAGATTTTTACTCATTGTCTCGGAAAGATCCAATTTGAGATGGTTAATAACACTTAAATGGGATTTTGCATTACAGGTAGCTTGAATTTCCTACGTCTGAGCACTAAATTTTACAACAGCAGTAGCTGAAAACACAATTTGGTGCTAAAGTAGATGCAGTAGCTGGTGTAGTTTAATTATTTAAATATTAAAAGTGCCATGCTGCTTAGCTTTAATTGGGCTCTAGTCAGAAGATCACTCTCAAAATCCACTCTTTTTCGGGAACACTATTTCTTTTTCTCTCTTTCTACAGGAGCCAACACTAAAAAGTAATTGAAGGATAGTATAAAATATGCCATATGTGTAGGCAATCACACAGAATATGGGAAATACCTGTTTTTCCTTCAATTGCAGCCTGCAAACTCATGGGGCATGTTTATTCTGGGGGCATTACATTTGCCTGTGTAATAGCGTATAGCACATTTTTGGTTTTACTGCGGGCAAACACTGAGAACAGCTAATCGTACCTGAATAAGTGAAAGGCAAACATGCCCTCCCAGCCATACCTGCGCTTAAATAGGGGCCTAATGACTCCACGCTGCATCCACTTGGGCAAGCAGGAAGCAGTTGCCAACAACCTGCCATTTGTAGCAACCTGGCTCACTTCGTTTGCTCTAAGTCTCAAAATAATTCAACCAAAAAGCATGGGAAAATGCATGGGCAGAATGGCTCAAGACCCAGGAAGGCCTGATAAGCAGCAATACTGCAACTATTAGGAGGAGGCAAAGTCTCCCCAAATTAAGATTTTACTTCTGGTCATAGAGGGAGGCAGGGCGGCAAGTTCCTTTTAGGCTTGCTTATAATCCAGATGGCAGAAGTGATCAAAACAAAGGAAAAAGTTTTAATGAAATGCTTTATCAATTTCATTTAAAAATATAAAACTCCACATTTTTAATTCTACATTTAGGGTAATACTTTTAGCAATATTTTACTTACAGGAAAGGGCCTTTTCTGTCCTCATTTACAAGTTCTGCAATAAATCTCTTGCGAGGGGTAATAAATTCAAAAATTGTTGTACAAACATTTTAATAACAGTATAAATAATATGTCAGCGCTGATGAAAACATGGCTGAGAATTAAAAATGACTATTTTCCTCAAATACTTCATTTAAAAGAAGCATTTTTGTTGAATTCTTCTCAGAGGATTAAGCACATGGATTAATGTGAAATGTTGCAGTTTGAAAGCCATAGTGGTAGTTGTGGGGGAGGGGAAGGAGATGTCAAATCAGTATCGGATTCACGAACAGTCTGTGGACCGTAGGTCCAACTGCCTTCTTAGGAGCGAATCGACTTCCCAAATAATGTAATCACCTATAAGCTCGACTCTGGCAGTATCGGATTCACGAACAGTCTGTCAACTGCAGGACCAATCACCTCCCCCCAAACAAGTAGTCAAGTTCACAAACAGTATGATTTATTCAAATGCAACATTTTGTTGCTGTTCAAACGGCGCGGCGACCTGGTTCAGGAACGGCACGGCGACCTCCCCCAGGCCGCTCGGGCCATCAGCTCGCTGACACCAATGTGGTGGACGGCAAATGGCGTTTATTGATGGGTAACAAGGTGTTATATAGCTAAGGTTTACAACGTCACATCCGTCTGCTTACATCATAAACTAAAC